GAAGGGTATGTTGGCACCCCCTGCTGGTGTTTGAGTCTTGCTGGATCACCGTCGCCCGCGAGTTTCTTTGCCCGCTCGTTTCTCAAAACCTGAATCGCAGGTTAGATTTCATCTGGGTTCTAGTTCCTAACAAGAAAACCTTTTCTCTTTCTTTATTTGTGTAGATATTAGCCGTTAGTTTTCAGTTGTGGTTTTAATAGTTCGAATTCTTCAATAAAAATTTCAATTTTTTGGTTTAAAACATGTTCTTGTGTATGCCAGTTTGTCAAATTCAGCATGTGAGTGGTTCTAACCCTAAGGTGAAACATATGCATGATAATTGTGGATGAAACCGAGAAGTTCATTTCAAAAGTCTGATTATCCAAAGGTGTTTGATAATTTCTCTCAAAGAATATTTGGCTAAGCTTAATTGATTTGGAGTGCACTTCTATTTGTTTAATTCCGAACCAAATTGTTATTCTGCAATTGGCGATAGTACAATTGCATCGGTAGTTTCGATGCTAATACTTTTTTATTTAAATTAACAAAATAGCAAAGACATTGGTTGTTTACAAAAAAACCGATGCTAATACTCTTTTATTTAAATTAACAAAATAGCAAAGGCATCGGTTGATTAGAAAAAACCGATGCTAATATTCTTTTTTTAAATTAATAAAATGGCAAAGGCATCGGTTGTTTAGAAACAACCGATGCTAATACTCTTTTTTTTTTAAATTAATAAAATAGCAAAGGCACCGGTTGTTTAGAAACAACCGATGCTAATACTTTTTTTTTTTAAATTAATAAAATAGCAAAGACACCGGTTGTTTCCAAAGCGATGCAATTGAATTGGACCAATTGCATCGCTCGTATTTACATCGGTACAAAACCGATGCTAAAGGTATAAAACAACTGGTGCCTTTGCCCTTTTATGTACTAGTGTGGTTACTGTTTAGATTACTTTCTTCTTCATATTTTATCGTAATTGCATATGGTAATTTTTGTGTGCACGTGGAAAGTTTTGTATTTTTCTATGGGGCAGGAGGTATCCATGAATCAGTCTAATTTACACCGTCAAATTTGCATGTAGATTCATGTTTCGCTGCATAAGGTTCACCTCTAATATTCTCTCCATCGAATCTCATTTGCACAGAGAGTTCCTTGCTTTCAGTTTTAATATGTGTTATTTAGTGAATTACATCTTTCATTATTAATGTGTTATGCAGCCCACAAAAAAATTATTCAATAGTATTATATGACAAATTATGGCTTAGAGTGTTGATGTGTGTTCCAAGAAACTCAATTTCCAAAATTGAATTGTTTTTTATTAGCCGTAGCAGAGTAACTGTGTTCAACTTCTACTTCTTATGTATGCATGTATGTATGTGCAAAAGCAACTGGTAAATGATAAGCTGAATTTGTAGCATCTCTATTGAAGCTAAGAGTTTCTCAAGAAATTAAATAATGGATTTTGATCTGTAGTAAAAATTTTTAGTACGGAGTATATGTCAAGAAAGAGAGCTGTCTTGCTCCTGAAACTTTCCCTCATTTGCCTGTGTATTATGATGTCAACGTTGTTGGTAAAAAAATCTCAAATCCTTTGATTCCGTCGTAATGATCGATCTCGACTGGATTGTTACTATGGAAGAAGCTGTAGACACATCGCACACCAACTATGGCAGTAGTGTGTTTCATAGACACTGTCATTGTTGGTGTGCCTATAGTATGTCTAATGTTGCTACTGGCCTATTGCCTTTGTTGTATCTAGCTCTTTTGGATCCCACTTCGTTCAAAATCTGGTATGGTCTGGGATTAGGAACCAGATCATCTGGACTCTGGAGATTTGTTATCATAAAACCCACATCTCACTCTAGGACTTAAAATTGAACACATATCCACACTGCCACGCCATCACCCCCCTCCCCCACCCCACAATGCTTTATTGCCTACCACAAGAGGGGGATGAAAGAATCTTGGATTGATACCAAAACCCCCCCAAACCAGTTGTGTTGGCTATTATGTTCCGTTTCTTCTTCCGACTTACCACAAAAATTTCATCTCTTTGCATACTTTGTTTCCCCTGTAATTACCATCACTTTTCACCTGACTCTATATATCATATATGTATATAATATCAACAATCACACTTCCTTCATTCTCTTCAACTGTCTTCACCTTCAACTGGATATGAAAATCATGGGGAATAATCCATTAACAATATCAAACTGGAGAAGCCAAAAGCTGTCTGATCCATCCCTTTATTTGTTTTTTCACTTGTGTGTAACCTTGGGATAGAGCTTTGTCAAAGCTCTCTGAAGAAATCCCTGGGTTCAGCCATGCTTTGCTTGGGAGGTTATTGGCTCAAGGATATAAAAGTAACATGGAAATGCACCAAGAAAATGTTTTTGAGGTATAGTACTACTTTCGAGAACATGTTCTACTGTACTACCTACTGATTACCCTAAAAACAAATACCTATCACTTTGAAAGAATGAAGTAACAATGCTCATGTATAGGTCTCATTGCTTATATAAAGTCCTATAAAATTACAACCCAGGCAACCAAACATGGCCTGATGGCTGGTACTAGGGACAGTTAGGAGTACACAAACGCATAGTATTAATTATTATGTAAGGAGTACATTATATACTGTGATCATAAGGTTATGTAATGGAAGGTAACATGACAAGAGTTCTAAGGTTCACAGGTGTCTGGTTTAACTTCCAAACTAGACAAAGAAGTTATTACTAACTTATTTTTAGCTTCGTATATTTCGATGTTATTACCTGACACTTTTACTCTACTTATTTAGATAGTATTGACACAATTTAAATCACTCTCAAAGAGTATATACTCGTATCTATTTATACTTTCATTCCCACAAATTCATTCCCAAAAAAAATTATTTCTAAATATTTGATCTCTTGTATGTGCAGACCACCTATGACCTTGGAGATACAAGAAGAAGCTCTATGACGGCGTAGTCTGAAATTGCATGTCTCAAGAGCTAATTCATTCATATGACGGCGTAGTTGATCTTCTTTCCGGCGAGGAAACCCGGACATCGCCAAATTGGGGATTCTGCAATCTGCAATTGGCATCGAATTGTTGCAATTGATGACTCCTCTATGCTAGTGGAGGCAAGACAAGGCTGAGGGACCAGGTGCGCAGCCGTGGAAACGCTGGTGGTTGCCAGAAATTCGCATGACCTGCCAAAAACTGTTGAACATGGTCGCGATGGATTCCGGGTGATTCTTGTTGAACAACTTATGCACCTCTAGAGGGGGTGAATAGAGGTGTTCTTCAAAAATCAAAACTTTTGGAAGAATAAACAAAAATTCGCAGGAGAAAATCAACCACAAGACAAAGTTGAAGAGAATGAGCAACACACGATGTATCCTGGTTCGGCCTAATGCCTACATCCAGTCCCCGAAGCAAACGTGCCCGAGATTCCACTAACTTCGTCAAACTTAAAGGAGTTTGACAATCCGATTACAACTCGAGAACTTGAATTCGCAAGGCTCTAACCTTTCCACCGAAGTCTTGATTTCACAAGACTTAAGATTTCTCTCCAAAAACTTGAATTATATCAACTTCAAGTTTTTACAATTCACACACCGTTTCAAAACAAAGTGCACAGCGGAAATACTCTTCAAATTAAGAGTGAATTGCTGTTAAATACAAGACTTTATAGACTATGGCACACTAGTACTCTCCAAAACTCAAGCAAATATTGATTTCTTGAAGAATTGCTTCGAAGTATTATTGAAGGATTAAAAGTATGAATTGAATTGCTTGGATACATAAAATAATATGTTTGAATGGATATATATAATGCTTTTCAATCAAAAGAGCCTTTGTAGGTGAGTTATAGAAGATAGGGATGGATAACTCCCTTTAAAACTGACAAAACTGCAGTTGAAACTGACAACTTATTCGAATAAAATTATATTTATCTGAATAGGATAGAGCGAAAAATGCAGACTTATTCGATTACATTAAGGTTTATTCGACTAAATCGCTGTAGGATTGAAGAAATGAAATTAAGGACTTATTCGAATAAACTGCTATTTATTCAAACAAGACAGAACTGAAAACTCAGACTTATTCGAATAAAACAAAAGTTATTCGAATAGTTCTCACAGTTTTGAAAATGTTATTTTGAAATTGACTCAAAGACAATTTGAAGGATTTTTGGAAAACATTTTCAAGGAGGGAAAAACAACTACCGTGCCATACACTTTAACAAAAAATGCTAAGATCTGATACACTACCCAACTAAGGAAACAACCTCTTCGGTCTCGTTCTTTCCACCGATGCTCAAGTCCCTTCTTCACGGACGGATATGAACTTGTTGTAGCTTTGATTCTTAGCCTTGATGCACAAAATGATGATGATGTTTTGTCATCTTTTTGTCATTATCAAAACCTAAAAGACAACGGGCAAAGGACATTGCAAAAATACATAATCATGATAACACATTGTCCAACAATTCTGACGTTCAAATTATGTGTGGATGGTGGCGTTGGACTTGTGATGACCCCAGGAATGCTTTGGGAAGGATTGGAGGCGAATTGGCTGCGTGTGAATGTAATGGAGTAGCCGTGCTGGACAGACCAGCGGCGATCCGACCGGATCATCAAGGCAGCTTTAGAAGTGGTGTTTGTGGAGTGATACACGTTGCTGTAACTTACCTAAGGTGTTGCTTAAAGGTTTAAATGTGTTGCTTAAAACTAGAACTTAAATGTTCTATAAAATGTTGCATATGCAACAAGACCTGACACAATGCCATAAGGAGTGTTGCTATATCTATATGGCAACATTTTTGCTACCTAATGCAACACTTTATAGGTGTTGCAAAAGGTTCATATTTTAATGCAAAACATTTTTAAATATGTAATTTGAAATTTTATTTCATAAACAATTAATTATATGCAATATACTCCGTAATACACTTAACTAAACACACAAATTTTAACATTGACCTAATTAGATGGGTCACATTCATTTTTGTTGGAGGTATATATGAATAAAATTTACTCGGGGTATTTTTTTTTACCTTATTACAACAAATTAGCAAGGGACATATCCAAGTACCATTTCACTACCAAAAAAGTGCTTCATATGACTCATGATAAGTATAACATTTATATGACTGTATGATCAAATTTGTTGAATGGATTGCAAACTAGACGTGCGATGGACTTGCACTTGCACTTAAAAAAGAAATGCACACAAAAACTCTATTTTGAGACCAGAGAAATATAATTATAGCTGAGGAGTCAATGATCAGGTAACACGGCATATTCTTCACAAATTAGAGGAACACGGCGAGGAGAAGAGCAACAAGTACGATAAATAGAAATAGCAGCCCATAATCCAAGTGTCATTGCAGAGAACACGAGTGGATGATCTGTGTTGGCAATCTTGGTGGCCACGAACCAAAAGGAGAAAAGTTGCACAGGCATTGTCACTAAGATATTCCAAGCACTGATGATGTTATGTACACCCCACCATATACCAAATATGTAGCATTGCACGGTCCAACAGGTCAAAACGAAGACGCATTCCATGTGATTCGGATAAATAAAGCCCAGAGCCATGGCAAAGCCCACGGGGAGAATATCAGTCGCGCATCTCATTTTCCTTCCCATCAATTTGTATTCTTTTGGTGGGCCAGTGGCCAAATACATTGCGAGAAAACACTTGAGGGGTTCTAAGGCCTCTACGAACAATAACAATGGTATGATAGGGTCCAATTTCCTCTCATCAGGTTCATAACAACAGACAAAATCAGTCACCAACATTGAGCTGAAATACACAAGCAGCCACGCAAATTGATCCGACACTGAGAGCATATATACGATGCAAAAGCTTCATTAGTACCTAATCTAACCAAGTAATCATAATAATTAAGCTTGTACCACGAGGTTGTACCCAAGCATTAATTTAATCACACAATTTTTATCATCACTTTAATTTTTTTATTCAAATATAAAAAAAATTGTGGTGAACATGGGCTTGAGGTACAAATTTGGGCACACTTTCCTGTATCCCAAACGATTTTTTTTCAATAATAATAATAATAATAATAATAATAATAATAATAATAATAATAATAATAATAATAATAATAATAATAATAATAATAATAATAAACAATGAAAGTACTCAAAAAATAAAAGTAATAGAAGCATTAATGGAAAAGAAACATATTATTACCTTTTGGCCCAGTTTGATTCTTTGGAGGTGTGCCAAGAGATTCGTCTTTACTTGGTTCCTATAGTAATTTGTTAGACATGAAATTTCAGTGCATTGAAGTAATCCATTCTTATAAACAATTTATTGATTTCGATTCCATTGCCTGAGGTCATGTTCTTTCCCAACTTTTTCTTATTACTTATTACGAAGTACTCCGTATTACTTATTCTTACTGAAATAATATCAAACAACAAATAGGATTGACAACACATTAAATGACATAGAAAAGTAAAAAAGAATAAAAAAAGAACGAGAAATGCTAAAGTTACAAATTTTTTGATCACAAAATACACAACCTTGCTATTTGTGTACCTCACTAAGTGAATTAAATAATGTTAAATAATTAAAAAGTAAGCATTTAAATACACAAATGGCAAGGTTGTGTATTTTGTGATCAAGGTGTTTGTGACTCTAGCACTTCTCAAAAAGAACAGCTAAAAACAGCAATATAATCAGACAGCAATAACAAGAATGAAAACAACCATAAAAACAAATTAACCCAAACAGCCGGACATATTCTGAGAACAAAAAAAAAAACTGTCAGAAAAAACATATCCAACGCATAATAACTAAGCAAACCGCAGAGCCAAACTAGAAATAAAAAATAATAAAAAAAATCGATTAATCGGGCACCGATTCGTCGGATCTAAGCCCAATCCGAACCGGGTACGCCACGAATCCGTTACACCAGAGGACGCCGTGATGGAACTTTATTTGTTCCACGGAGATCTCAAAAAACGAATAACAATAATTATGATAGAGACGAAAAGGATTGAGCAAAGAGACTGGGGGAAATCGAAGAATTACCGTAGCCATATCCATGCAATTCTCCCAATTAATCGTGCGTTTGTTCCTTCCTGTAGATAGTTTAGGGTTTGATAAGGTTTGTGTTCCTTTAAATAGTTAGTTTCACCAATCTACCTTCCAAAATATTTATTCCTCTCCTAGCTATATACGGAGTACTATTATACTTTAGTTTTGTATATGAAAAGAAATATTGGAGTAAAAAATTGAAGTAGATTTAGCAAGTTAAATTGGTCCAAGCAACTCGCTAGAGAAATGTTTCTGGTAGGGGTGTGCACAATTTGGTAAACCGAACCGAAACCGAACAATTTGGTATGTACCGAAACCGAACCGAATAATTCGGTTCGGTATTCAGTTCTCATATTTTGAAAAAATTAGTTTTCGATTCGGTACAAAA